GATACTAATGCATAATGTCAGTTAACAACAGACACAAACTGAAAGCTAGTACCTTATCTTTGCATTGATTTTAAGGAGATTGTACTATATAAATTCCTTGAGACTAAAAAATTATTAACAGATTGACAAATAAGTGAATCTTTTTTGTCTATTGCTGTCACTTTCCAATTATGCATTCAAATGAAGTATGATGTCCTTTTGTAAAATTATATGGTTTTTCACGCTTTAGAGGAACTGACTACCAGTTTCCTGAAATAGATTTTCTTTAATAACATAAATGTAGCAGTTTAGAGGTTGATAATGAATATAGCAGTGGCTCAGACTCACAGAACAGTTGTTGTTTTGGTTTGGGGTTTTACCAGAACATCACCTAGTCAGATAAGACTTTTGTTGCTGTTGTTTTACCGAACAACTTTTGAAGACTATCTTTCTACAAAGCAGTTGCTGTCCAAATATCTATTTTGACATTCTATCATAAATTTTCCGCGTTCCTGTAATTGATAAATACACAGTAAAGGAATTGTTTGTTTTACTACTTATGAGAAACGAGGGAGAAGAAAATGTGAGTAATATTGCAAAGAGCATTTACAACTTGACATGTTCAAAATTGTTCAATGAAGAAATTGCAGATTTTCAGTTCAAGGGTTGCATTGGTAGTGTTTGTAACTTTTTCCACTCAGAATTAGTATTTGAATGTAGTTTTTAGTGGATTTGATCACATTTTTCACTCATAGATCCTGTAAGCATGTTGGATAGAACCGATGTTTTTCTTAATTACTAGTATTTATCAAAGCATGTGAAGAAGAGGATGTACAGTTTCCAAAATATTGTACATGATAAACAACATAATGTGATAAACTTCCTCAATTATGTAACGTTTTCACATAAAGGAACTTCAAATAAAGGGTGGTTCATCCATCGGTAGAAAGTACCCTGTTCAGTAGAAAAGGGTTGCAGTCAAATTTTCTTCAAAATATGAATATCTGAGTACTTGTGAATGCTAAAATGAATCCATTTTTATATAACTTTACAGTTAAATAGAAAATTTGAACAAGGATTGCCTTTAGAAGGTCAAAAAACTGTCAGATCATCTGCTGTTGAAAGGAAACAAGGAAAGGTATGATTAAGATCTATTTTATTATATTATGAATGCATAGTTCCTGTTAGGATCGAGCGCTTACCACTAGGCCAAAAGCTATAGCCATTAGTCAGAGCGCAACTCTTTTTACTTTAACAGCCCAAGCACCACGATTCAATTGTGACTCGGCCCACCTGACCTTTCGTCACAGGACAATTGATGCTACCTGCAACAATCTCCCCCTCAGCAATTGTCCTATAAGGTATCCCACTCTTGGATTGTGACTTGGCCCACCCGGCCTCTGCCACGGGACAATTGTGCAACCTGCAACAATCTCCCCCTCAACAATTGCCCACCAGGAATCGAACTCGTGACCTTGGCTCGATACCAATTGTTAGGATCGAGCGCTTACCACTAGGCCAAAAGCTATAGCCATTAGTCAGAGCGCAACTCTTTTTACTTTAACAGCCCAAGCACCACGATTCAATTGTGACTCGGCCCACCTGACCTTTCGTCACAGGACAATTGATGCTACCTGCAACAATCTCCCCCTCAGCAATTGTCCTACAAGGTATCCCACTCTTGGATTGTGACTTGGCCCACCCGGCCTCTGCCACGGGACAATTGTGCAACCTGCAACAATCTCCCCCTCAACAGTTCCTTGCTTAAATTTCCCAAAATCTAATAAACAACTTTGTTAGTAACTATTTTCACCCTCTTGTTGTGGAGAACAAGTTATCAAGATTTAGATAATTTTTACTTTAATTCAAATTGCAGAATTTGAATCCTGTTTACACAACTACAAAGGCTGAGCAGTTAAGAGAAACTCTGAGGAATCTTAAGCGTAACCATCAGGTGAAAGACTCAGAGTCATAGCTTTTTTCTCATGACACATTTTACTAATTTTTGATCTATAAATGTAAGTAGAGACTCATTCTATGAGATGGATCTAGGTTTATATGCATGATTACACATACCAAACTCAACTCTTGACTTGATTGTGTCTGGTTTTTAAGCAAGTTTTATAAGTGAATGCATCTTATCATAACACATAAGAAGATCACTCAAAATAATGACATGAAGTATTGCATTTTCCTTTCTAAAATTAATAGAATTACTCCCTTTATTATTTTCCTATATAGATAACTTTTCTGATAGAGATGATACTTTCACTTTTTCCTTCTTTATTAAGTCAATTCTAAAATTTTGTTTAGGGTGAGGGTGCCAGAGTCAGAAGAGCGTTTCAAACACTACTAATCTATGTTGGAAATGTTGTCAAGAATCCCAAGGAGGAAAAGTACAGGAAAATCCGACTGAATAACCCATTATTTCTGGTAATTGAGATATGTTTTTTTCTTAACAAACATATTTTCTTGGGAGTGGTAGGTTCATCACGTTTAATCAAGCAAATTTAACTAGAAAAGTTAAAGATTCAGTGTATACTAGATATGTTCTTCAAAATTCATTAAGAACACATCTGATACAGCCAAGTCTTTCATTTTGAATTGGTCATTGAAAATTTTATTTTCTTATTTCAACCATTATGATCTTTTGAGAAATGCACCATTCTGGTTAAGGGGAGAACATAAATAAACTTCTGATTAAACCAGTTTTTTTTACTAACAATGTAAGTTTCTTACACTATCATTTAATCATAAATTGACATATTAGCTAAGATTTATATATATATATATATAATAATTTATTGCTGACATAGTAAAAAAGAAAAAAATTACACTGATAGTGTATAGAAATTAAACTCAATTTTATTGTATATATTCTTTTCTACATGTTTTTTAACAGGATAGAGTTGGAAGTTTAAGTGGTGGTGTAGAGTTTCTTGAGCTATGTGGTTTTGAGAGAGGTGGTGACTTCTTGCATCTTCCTGAAGAAAAGGTTGACATGGCACTGCTGAATTCAGCTGGTTTTGTCTTAAATTCTGCAATTACAAACCCTTTCTTTGGACTTTTAAGTACTACTCACAATTGAGTATGAGTGAGCATAGTCTACAATTAGTTTAAAAGAGGATAGCTCAAGGCAAAAAAAATTTATATACAGTGTTAAATGTTTATCATGGGAACTAATGCAACTTATTTTATAGATTTACATCACTGAGTAGTTATTCATGCCCCTCACCAACCTTTATGACAAGTAATTAATATTCATTAATTATTTTATCTTAAATAAAAAGCTTTAAGTAGCAAAACAGATAACTAATGAATATCCAAATATAATGAATACGGTTAACGAAACATATACGAATATCATAATGTGTAGATTAAATTTCCTTTTAAAAGTAAAAGTCAATAAAATAATAATAATAAAATATTATATTAATGCACATTTCTCTTCATTTTTTCTCAACCAAACAACATTCATTTTTTTCTCTTTACTTTTATTTTTCATTCCTTCAATTTCAGTTATTTCCCCATCATTTATTTCCTTTTCCATTATTCAATCCAAACAAAAGCTAACGAATTTTTTGCATGTGACAAGTAGCTACGCCCAAAGAGAAAAATATTGACATGATGAAAAAAAAAGTCTGAACTAGAGAATTTTGGTAACTCAAGTCTGCTAACTTTTCACGTATTTTCATGTAAATCAACCAATTAAAACAATTAATTGTATACCCATGTGATTCATCTCCACTCCTTTCTACGCAAAAGTACTCCTCTTGTTCTGAACACATACTTAAAGTTAAATTTTATATTGCAACTTATGAAACCTAGTAAATTCTTTTTAAGTGAACGTAGGATTTGTGTTTTTAATCTATTCATCACTGACTTGACCATTAATTATAATAATAAGAGAACCAAATAATTTATTAATAAATAATAAATAAATATTAAAAAGATAAAAAATTAAAAGAATAAAAAATAAAATTATAAAATATATAAACAAATATATTAAATAATTATTAAGTACTATAGATCATGAAAATTACAAAATTCTAGTAGTTCCAAAAAATCTATCTGGCACTGTTTCTTGCCTTTGTTTTTTCTTGTATGCCAAATTTTTAAGCTTTGATATATATGCTGAAGCTTGTTATGTGTTATTATTAAATTATATTTCAGCATTTGGATTGTGTGGGAGGGTGTAAAATATTGAGTCCATGAATCTAACATATTCAGCATCTAACAAAACCAATGAAAAAAGACTTAAGTGTGCAAGGAATGAAAGAGAAAAAGTATAACTTTCGTCCTAACAAAATAATTTTTTTTTCTGCCATAAACCTGATTGAGAAAAAAAAATGATTATAAGAGATTGAAAATATTTTAAAAACTTTAATCAAAAGAACCAAATTAACCATTTTCCCTTCTAAATAAAATTAAAGTATCATGTTACCACAGTAAACCACATAGTAAATAGGACGATTATATTTAAATTGAACGGACAATGCAAACTAGAAAGGAAAAGGTACCACCAAATTATACAAGTTATAAGAGAATGTCAATCAATGGACACTAACAAAAATCCTACAGGAGCTACAATTTAAATCATTTGAAGCAAACTAAGTAAATGTCCTAATAACTTGCAAACAAAATACTTTATCCATGCTTGGCATTTTGGTATCAATTTCAGGGTGTTGAAAAGTAACTTCTTTCCAATCTGATCCTTACATCGTTCGCGCTGAAGGCATCCAGCAGATGCTCATGAAATTTTGAAAAATGGGACATGTAACCAAACCTATTCACTCTCAAATCCACAAATTACTAGTTACAATTAAAAGAGTTGCAGGATATTGACGGGTTTTAACCAAATAAACTCCAAAACTATCTTGATTAATGTCTAAAATAACGGAAAAAATAAAAAGGAAAATAATCAAAGAACTATGCTATTACACTTGGATTTAGATCCTCATCACCGACCACTGTCCATAACACAAGTTCCAGCTAAGAATATCAATAATTTCCAATACATGTTAGACTTTCGACTCCAATGCTAAAAGTATCTTCTTTCTTGGTCCCTGATGAAAAACAAAAAAAGCATAATCATAATGTGTTAAACTAAATCAAGATGGGAATTACTGAATGGATTACAAATCAAAAGAGGATACTTGATATTAAGTACGGCAGAATGAAGTTATATCGCCAACATATTAGTAAAATATTTATCCTAGGAACACATTAAAAAACAATGTCTGAAATTCCAACCCAGTGAAGGACCAAATCCGCGAGATTAACGTACAAATAATATCATAACCATTAAAATTTTAAAAATACGATAATTGCAATACTTAAAAACAAACCTTTATGTGCAATATTATTATAGGTACTTTTTGTGCTGTGTTTTTTTTAACAAAATAAACAAAATTGGAAATTTTACTAAGACCTAAGCTGACGTTAAAGGTAGACCATCTAGTGTGGGCTACCAATGTGAAATTCTAATTCTACCTTCATGGTGTGAGAAAACATCATTCTTTGACCCTAAATCTCTTCAAAAAGCCGGAATTTTTTTTTTTCATCCATGACACTTTTCCAGAACCTACTGAATTAATTTGAATACCTAAACAATTAAGTAAAGTACCAAACAGTTCCTTCAAAGATATGGGTGGCGGCTGATAGGTCTCGGAAAGAAAATTTCTTGCACGTTACTCTGTAAAGTTTTTCTGTGTTAGACATGTTAGACAAGTTAGACCTTCCATGAGGAGCTTCTTTAACAGAAAGCCACAACCTCAATTAGGTGCCATGGTGGCTGCCTCTCTCACTCTTTGCATTGTTTGTGATATAAGTTATATGAGTAAAAAATAAGGTCCTTCATCAATCTGAGTATCAACAAGACAAGAAGCTGGGCGAACATCCCATTTGACGCATGTGTTTCGAAAGAAGAACTCCTTCATCAATCTTCCCCTCATTCTAAAACTGCATTGAAGCTTGACTCACTTGGCTTAACACCCCTTGCCACCATTTCCCTCAGACGTGACACTACTTCTCTTGGTTTCCAATATTGCAATACTCATTTACTACAATCCCATATGCTTTCACATTGGACTTCATCCCGCCACTAACCATTTCCCTCAATTGCTGAATAGTCTCATCAGACTTTCCCTTAATACACATTCCCTTCAACAAGCTAGTATTTGTGGCAACATTGTCTTTCAACCCATTCAATTGCTTCCTACTCGTCATCTTCCTTGCCTCATCCACTTCTCCACGCAAACAATCACCTTCAATCAACACAGTGTAGATCACAACATCGGGGAACACCCTCATTCCACAACTCCAGTGTCTCTCAAAATTCACCTCTATTCAAGTTCTCATCAATCAAAGTGGTGACCGTGGATGAACATATTGTAAGTAACCATGGTAGTGTGGCAGAAATGTTGTGGTAGTAGTTGAAGAAGAGAAGGCCTGGTTAGTGGTTCTTGAACACGTGAATGACCAGGTTTGGTGAGGGGAGAATTCTCTAAGGGGTGAGAAATTTGGGATTTGGGGATCTAAGTTTTGAAGGATTGAGGTGGCGTTAATGAGGGAGAGGTTTGGGATAGGCGCCATAGTTTTTAGGGGTTACATAGCCTCTGAAACAATCTCATAAAGCCATTCAACATCCAATAAAATTTTCATTTTCAATAAATAAAAAAAGACCTTAGTTTCTGACATCTTCAACTTAGATAACAAGACACGCCACCTAGGAGTGAGAAACTGCCACAAAGGCACTTAACATGGAAGATGGACATGGATTAACAAAATTACTAACAGAAGGACTAACTTGCCCAGGGGAGAAAAACTTTAGGCATTAATGTGGAAGAAATTTTATTTCAGGGACCTATTTGTCATAGCCTATATCATTTAGGAACCCATTTGGTACTTCATTCCTACACAGTTACTATCTTTCATGTGACCATTGAAGCATATTTCCTTTCAGAAGAGAAGTGGTTTTCACAGGCTCATTGACTTTTGCAGGATTGCTGAACAATGCTTTATCTATCATGACTCAGCTCCCTCAATATGCAAGGGAAACCTTTCTAAAATAGCTATTCACTTTACATCATCATATGGAAGCTAAATGCCTTGTCTTATCCAAAAGCAGCAAATATCTAAAGAGATACCCTTTAAAACTGTGCAGTTACCTTCACTTCAAATGAACCTAACCACCAAAGTGCAGTAAATATTGCACAATGACACAAATAGGGTCAATTTAACACATAAAAAGTCCATGAAAAAAAGCAGAGTCTAGGTTTTATTCCAAGTAGCAGGCATTGACATGAGTTGCATTATCAATGAAACTGCAAATATTGCCATTGGAACAAACCAACATGAAAAGTACAATATTCCAAGAACAAACTTAATTTGTACCATTGGTATGCCCATAGCCTTGAGATCTTCATCAGTCATATGATTGAGAGCTGTCATATCAACCTGAAAAACAGTTTTTACAGAGAAATATTAGACCTGGATGATAAATTTAAAACTCAGTTACGAAGACAATGAACTTTCTCTCATGACAGAAAAAGGTCAAAAAGATGTATAACATACTTCTTCAGCCTGAAAAGTTATGAGGTACTTTTCAAGACCCAAGGACCGCAAAAATTCATCAATTGAAGTGTCAGCCTGTAAAACAAGAACCAAATTTATATCCATTAATTTCCCTTTATTTAGTAAAAAAAAAGGGTAATAATTGCATAAAGAAATCTGGGAAAACTGATTTAGTTTGTCAAGTATGAACATACAAATTAGGAAAATTACATTCTCTATAACAGAAAAAAAAGTACAAAATAAAACAAAAAAGTTCTACTAAATAATATAAACGGTTGAACATAAAATGGCCACTGACAGGTAATTAACAGTTTAACACCTGAAGCTACTATTATCTTGAAGTAAACTTGAAGAGAATTATTCATAACCACCATTACAGTACAAGAACAAGATCTATTGTATATATCTTAACCGACAAGAAAGTGTGGATTGAATACTAAATCAATGCTATCTTTCACCTTGTTAGATATGATTAGATATTAGTTGATATTGTTTGATATTGTTGAGATATTGTTAGATATTGTTAATCACAATATCAAATAATATCTTTTTATTTACCCTATTTGTATTCTGTTACTCTTTTGAGGAGTACCTTTCTTTATTATAAATATACTGCCCTATGTGTGGTAAATACACAAGGGAAATTAACCCTATATTCAACATGGTATCAAGAGCTTAAGGTCTCTTGGGATTTTTTTTCGGCTCTGCCACTGAACCTGCAGCTGTCGCCGCCTCCATCGCCGCCGCCGTCGCCACCGCCGCCGCCGCCAGAGTAGCAGTTCGGACCGCCAAGCACAGGGTTTTGCTCGCCTCCTCCGTGCGACCTCCACCGTGGAAGTTTCGCGGTCATCGGAGCAGCCACGCTCCCTCACGCGCCTCCCGAAGCCGCGCCACCTTCTCCCGTTCCGCCGTGCATGGCGGCGCATCTCGCCGCCGTTCAGGCCGCCGATCTTTGCGCCGGCGTCGCCTCCTTCTCCTCTCTCTGGATCTGTCCTCGCTGCTCCAATCGGACCTCTTTGGTATTTTAGGATTTTTCTCTCTCTTCCTCCATGGCATCTTCTGCTGCCACTTCCAATTTTGAAGTTACCTCTGTCAGCTCCGGTGGGTCTGAGCAATCTGTTTTTACTAATTATGTCAATGTGAATTTACCCATTGATAAATTAGATGGTACGAATTATGCAACTTGGGCATCTGATATTAGACTTTGGCTTGAGAGTCAGGGGTATGTTGATCATCTTACTACCAAGGTAGATGATGTTCCTTCCAATGATCGTGTCCGTTGGAAGAAAGTTGATGCTCATATATGTATGGTTCTCAAGAATACCATCCAATCTTCTTTAAAACAAATTTTTCGATCGTATGGCACATGTTATGACGTTTGGGAACAAGCCAAATTATTATACACCAATGACACTCAACGTCTTTATGGTGTTTGTTACAATCTTCTTGATGTTATTGCTCCTCGAGATAAGGATCCTGTGGCGGATTATGTGGGTAAGATCCATGCTCTTCTCCATGAATTTAATGAGTTATTACCCCCTGCCTCGACTCCTGCCCAAGAATTAGAGCAACGATCAAAGTTTTTCATGGTTTTGATGTTACACGGACTTGCCGATAAATATGCCCCTGTTCGTGACCGGATTTTGGGTTCCCCTGTTACACCCAGCTTTACCGCTACCAGCTCCTCCCTTTGCGGGTGCCATGTAAACCTCTCAATATTCCCCCTGTAGTTTCTAATGATTCATCTCGCCTTGGCCTCTCACCGTGATGATCGTAATCGCTCTCACAAGCCAGGCAAAGGGCGTGTCAAGTGTGACCATTGTGGCAAACTAGGCCACAAAATTGACAAATGTTATGCTTTACATGGTTATCCTCGCCGATCTGCTGCAGCTTGCTCGGACCGATTCTTCCGCACAATCCTCTGCCGTGGATCCTCCTTCGTCTGTACCTTCAGCACAAATCTGCTATCTTCAATGATTTTCTTCAATGGTATGAGGATCGAAAGCCCTCCAGCTTCCACTACTTCGTTGCCCACACAGGTACATCTTTTGCTTGGTCTGACTCACTCTTCTTCTATTGGCCCTTGGGTTCTTGACTCAGCGCCACCGATCACATCACCTGGTAACAAATCCTTATTTTCCTCTTTCATTTCTTCTCATAATTTACCCTCTGTTACAATGGCTAATGGGTCTACAACTTTAGCTCATGGTGTTGGAACGGTTACTCTTTTTCCTCGTTGTCCATTGATAATGTTTTGTATGTACCTGGTCCCCCTTTAACTTATTATCCATTAGCCGTCTAACTCGATCTCTTGATTGTGTTATCTCTTTTACCAAAACTTCTGTTTCCCTACAAGACCGGAGCTCGCAAAGAGTGATTGGCACCGGATGTGAGTCACATGGACTTTATTATCTTCAACCTTCTCCACATGTTGGCACAGTTATGGAGTCTCCTTCTCTCCTTCATGCTCAGCTTGGTCACCCCAGTCTGCGCAAATTACAGCAACTTGTTCCCAGCTTATCCCAGTTGTCCAATTTGGTGTGTGAGTCCTGTCGGTTAGGCAAACATAGTCGTACTTCCTTTTCTCGTAGTGTTTCCCAGCTGTGCTTCATCCCCCTTTGCCTTAGTTCACTCGACATTTGGGGACCCAGTCGTGTTAAGTCTAATTTAGGTTTTCAATATTTTGTTACTTTTATTGATGATTTCTCTCGTTGTACTTGGTTATTTTTAATGAAAAATCGTTCTGAGTTGTTTTCTATATTCCAAAACTTTTATCATGAAATTAAAAATCAATTTGGTATCTCTATTCAAACTTTTCGAAGTGATAATGGCCGTGAATATCTTTCAAACTCGTTTAAACAATTTATGGCTTCTCATGGCATTCTTCATCAAACTTCCTGTGCTTATAACCCCTCAACAAAATGGGGTGGCTGAGCGCAAGAATAGACACCTTATTGAAACAACCCGTACTCTTTTAATTCATGGTGAGGTTCCTCAACATTTTTGGGGTGATGCTGTTCTTACTGCCTGTTATCTTATTAATCGTATGCCCTCTTCGGTTTTAGATAACAAAATTCCCCATTCTATTTTATCCAGTGGCAAAGATGGCTTCTGTTCGTTTATTCATTGCCATGGCTGCTATTCAACAATGGCCTCTTTATCAACTGGATGTCAAAAATGCTTTCTTGAATGGCGATTTGCAAGAAGAGATTTATATGGAGCAACCTCCCGGATTTGTTGCTCAGGGGGAGTCTTCTGGATTGGTATGTCGTCTTCGCAAATCTTTATATGGCCTAAAACAGTCTCCTAGGGCCTGGTTTGGAAAATTTAGCAGCGTTGTTCAACAATTTGGCATGACTAGAAGTGAGGCAGACCACTCAGTCTTTTACCGTCACTCGAATGCTGGATGTATCTATTTGATAGTGTATGTCGATGACATTGTTCTTACAGGTAGTGACCATCATGGCATCTCTCAGATGAAACAACACCTTTGCCACCATTTTCAAACCAAAGATCTTGGCAAACTCAGATATTTCTTGGGTATTGAGGTAGCACAATCTACTGATGGCATTGTTATATCTCAAAGAAAGTATGCATTGGATATTTTGGAGGAAACTGGGTTGATGAATTCAAAGCCTCGTTGACACACCCATGGATCATAATACCAAACTCTTGCCAAATCGGGGGAGCCAATGTCAGATCCTGAACAGTATAGAAGATTAGTTGGAAAATTAAATTATCTTACAGTTACTCGCCTCGACATTTCCTTTGCGAGTCGAGTGTGGTGAGTCAATTCCTCAATTCTCCTTGTCAAGATCATTGGAATGCAGTCATCCGTATATTAAAGTACATCAAAAAGTCTCCTGGAAAAGGTTTGGTGTATGACTCCCATAATCATACAAGAGTTGTCTCGCTATTCGGATGCTGATTGGGCAGGATCTCCCTCCGATAGAAGATCTACATCTGGGTATTGTGTTTCCATTGGTGGTAACTTGATCTCATGGAAAAGTAAGAAACAAAGTGTTGTGGCAAGATCCAGTGCAGAAGCGAGTATAGAGCTATGGCCTCAGCTACCTGTGAACTTATTTGGCTCAAGCAATTGCTTAAAGAGCTACAATTTGGAGATGTCACTCAAATGACACTAGTGTGTGACAATCAGGCCGCTCTCCATATAAGCTCTAATCCCGTCTTTCATGAGAGGACTAAACACATTGAGATTGACTGCCATTTTATTCTGGAAAAGATTATGTCTGGAGACATCAAGACTGAGTTCGTTAACTCATGTGATCAATTAGCAGATATTTTCACTAAGTCTTTACGGGGACCTAGGATGGATTATCTTTGTACCAAACTAGGCACATACGATTTGTATGCTCCAACTTGAGGGGGAGTGTTAGATATGATTAGATATTAGTTGATATTGTTTGATATTGTTGAGATATTGTTAGATATTGTTAATCACAATATCAAATAATATCTTTTTATTTACCCTATTTGTATTCTGTTACTCTTTTGAGGAGTACCTTTCTTTATTATAAATACACTGCCCTATGTGTGGTAAATACACAAGGGAAATTAACCCTATATTCAACACACCTATTCCCATTCAGAAAAAAAAAAATCAAACACTGACACTACTATAACAAATGTTGTCTTCAGCAATATTACATCTCACCCACAGTACAATATTTTTCCTAGCACATTTTAGTCCTCATTATGTGAAAAACTATCTCTGACAAAAGTCTCGTAGTAATCAATTCATTGGTGTCTCCCGATTTTGAAATTGTGGAATTTTAGGAGTAGGATCAATTGGGCTATCATACTCAACCACATATCGTAGAGCTTAATTTTCCGTAAATAAAATGGTTAAAATATTGGTCCACATACAAAAGTAAATAATATATTATATAAAAGAATATAATGTATAAAATTATGGCCCTTGTATACCTGTACTTGGTTGGTAAACCTAACATTTTTTTAAATAATATTTATACTCTACATCCAACCAGTCTTGTAGCACACACTAGTGTGTCATCTGTGCACTATACCTACTCAGAACTAGACAGGTGGAGATTCAAACAGATTCCAGATCCGTTTTTTAACCATAGATGTCCAAGAATATCAAAATACTCATCACCTGTATAACAGGAAATGTAATGGTATATATAAATGTAACAAGAATAGATGATGATAAATGCACTGAGAATGCAGGCAAAACAAAAGTTCTAATTAACAATACAAAATTGTTCATAACAAGAATAATACCTTCCGAGACCTTTTAGGAGCTGGGTCAGCTGGCCTTTTGATCTGCACTGCAGGGACCTCAACACCAATATTTTTACTGCTTGGTTTAACAACTTTTGATTTTGGCGGATCAGCATTTGTAGGTTGTACTGTCATTGTTCCTGATAGCCTTTCACGGAGATCACGCATGTTTGGAGCATAACTCTTTCCACTCTGAGATGCAGATTGAAGACCTTTCCTTTGAAGCTTGAGGCGTAGATCTTGAGCACTAACTTTGCGATCTTCACAATCACAAGCATTAACAAACAGTCAAAACCAATAAAAAATAGCTATTGGCATCCATCAAAAGTAGCAACGTATAGTTGCCTATGAGAATAACATTATTCATACTAGTGATCTGTGGTTCACCATCGTCAAAAAGATCATGTTCCCACTTGTCATCTTGCCTCGACCTGCAATTTAAGAAAAAAAAAATTGATTTTGAATATATAAAAAAGTTATTAGCATAAACATGCAAACAACTGATGTGTATAGTAACTGAAGCTTTTCAGTACCCAATCAAGTAGACTGAAAATGCTGATTCTTGGCAGATGAATAAAACTTGGTTTCAACCAGTGTTTTAAATCCGGGTTGCGGAGCATTGCAGCTCACCTCAAAAACACTATAGCAAATTGCGGGAGAACAGCAATTCTAAGCATTTTCTACCGGGTATGAGAATAGCACGTTATAGCACCAGGGTAGGGCTTTGGCGGGGCTGCCCTTGGCCCCTATGGAGAGCATTTCAGTGTTGCAGGGACAGCGGCCAAGACTTAATTTTAATTTTAATCAGAAAATGGCTTCCATTATGAGTTATTATTATGCCAAATTTAGGCAGATTATATTTATTTGCATACAAATTACGTATGACGGATATGTTATTTAACAGCTATGAGGTTTCCACCATTTCACTGCAGACTGCAGCACTACCCACTGTATACAATAGAGAGAATTATTAACTTTCTGCCATTTACCACAATCAACAATTGATAACACTGAAGAGAACATAGAAGTAATGAAGGCATGAATTCAATTGAAGAAATTGCATAAAATCAGAGAGTGTGGAGGAAGAGGAGGTATTGGGTGGCCTCTCTATTAACTGTGACAAAAATAACTGTGGAGATGAACATTCAAAGAGTGCTCTCTGTAATATGTGTAAGAAATTGCATAAAATCAGAGAGTGTGGAGGAAGAGGAGGTATTGGGTGGCCTCTCTATTAACTGTGACAAAAATAACTGTGGAGATGAACATTCAAAGAGTGCTCTCTGTAATATGTGTAATTTACATTCATGAAATGAACTCAAACGTAGAATTCTCATACAATATTCGTAGAGTTAGATTATGGGATAGTTGTAAAAGAATCTGACAAGTTTAACGGAATTAAGTGGATGATCAGCACCTATAAGAACTACTCAGGGTGACAAAAATAACAAAAGCTGATCATACACCCTAGTTTGTCTATAAAATAACGTTTCCGATCGTAGTATTTTAGGGATGTCATGTATTTCTTTTAAGAATGTCATCATTCCTCGTATGCAACAAACATCTCCTAACTGATACCATAGCAATTCAACCTAGATTCTCTTCCAAAAATAGTACAATTAACAAGCAGAAATTATATTTCCTCCACATACACCACAATCGCAAAAAAAAAAAAAAAATGATGGTGGCCAACAGTTTGTCCACAACCGCAATTGTCCACCATATCAATTTACATGACGAAACCACATCCGAATTCAAAACCTAGCCTAAAACATCATGAAAACATGAAGGAGTAAGAATTGCAAACCTCTTGCCGGTGATTTGACGCTGTTGCTGCAGCCGAGTAGGACCACTAGTACCATTCCCATTAAGGCGCTCCTTCACGGACCTCCGCCCTCCATTCTCCACGAGATCAGCGTACATTTTCGGCAATTCACTCGGTTCGAAATCGGAAGAAGAATTATGAACCCTATCGAAGAACAGAGACAGAGAGTGTGAAACGGAATGGAAGTGATCACGGTTCGCTGAGGAAGAGGCAGGGAACCGCAATGCGGAGACCGTAGCAGAGAATGAAAACCCTAACAACCCATTTTCTTCGTCGTGAAAGGGTGTTGAATTCTGAATGGAAAACGGTTTGTCTCAGGAAATTTGGAGTTTAAAGGAAAGGGAAAAGGTTCTGAATCGAAGGATTGGAAGAATTGAATGATTGTTCCTCTGTGGCCGTGAGGTTTTGATTTTGCAAATAGAAAAAGAGGATACTTGTTTGGTACGGAAGTAAGAATGGAAAGGATCTCTTGATTTCAGCTTATTGTTTTGGCGCCCCGATGGGAAAATGTTGCAAACGCTGCCGTTTCACAACAGGGGAAAATAATGCTAGTTCAAGAGTTTAATAATTGTTTGAATGGTGGGTTATTTAATCTACCTTGTTTAATTTGCCACTCTTTAGGATTTTTTTAGTTTTTATTATTTAATATAACAATATTAATAAATAAGAGGTATAAGTTATGTAAAAATAATTTTTTTAAAAAGTTACATGAAATTTGAATACTCTTTTTATGATTCAGTAATTATTAAATAGGGATATAATACTTTGATTTAGTAGAAAATTATAAAATAAGTAATATGACGTAGAAAAATATATTTTTAGGGACCTTAGATGCAAATTATGTTACAGTTTTAGATAAATATTTTTATTTGACCATTCATAAATATATTTTTAAAATGAGAAAAAATATTATAATTTTTAAATAATATTTTTAGTTTTTTTTTGGTAAAATATTGACACGTCTGCTAAACACACATGTAAAATTAAAATAATTTATAACTATGTAAATATATTATTAAAATCTATGAAAAACTTATAATTTTAATACATAAGAAGGTGGAAGAAAGTGATTTGAAGTAATGAATGTTAAAAATATTCAATAAAGTTTATGATTTTAACTATGATGAATCTAAGATCATGCGACTATATATTTGATTCAATATTTTTATTTAAGTTGTACTCTAGGTTTTAAAGATAGAAAGGGAACATTTTTAACCTTATCTTGGAGTTTTTGAGTATTGATGTTTTTATTTATGTTTTTTTCTAATATTAAAAAAAATATATGAAAATATTTTTATGTTTGATGAGTTTAGCACCAAGAATATTTTAATTAATTCGTTATTTTAATATTTTATTTTTTTCTTAAATAATATTTAATCAATATATTAATTTTACTTAAATAGTATAACTTGTGTTTTAATTGATTACAATTAATTTTTTAATCAATTAAAATAGTTTGAAGAAAGATTTTTAATAATTTTATCATATTAAAATTCAAATTAATTAATCAAAACACTAAAACATGACACATGAATTAATTTTAATAAATTAAAATGTGTTTAATAATTTTCATAATTGAATATATCCTCTTTCAAAATTATGTTTAAAAAAATTAAAGAAAATTTTAATATTTTAAAAGAGATATTATTGCAATACTCATTATTGCATAATTTTTTATTCTGAGGAAAGATTTAATCATATTAATTGGTTCATCTTACTCCTCTAATTTAAAACTACTGAATCATATTTAAAAATAGTTAATCTATCAAATTAATTATATCACTCACAAATTTTTACAAAATTTTCTCTCGTTTCCTTTTATTTCTCAGTCACTCTCTTCTAAGAGAAAAGATTATGGATCATTTTATCTTTCTCACTTTACACGAGAAAAATTACAAAAAAAAAAAATTCATTATCATTATTTTTCTTATCATATTACCCTCCAACATCTATTATCTCATTTCATAATATTTTACCCATAATCTATAATATTAAATTTTACATATCTATTATATATATATATATATATATATATATATATATATATATATATATATAATTAGTGTATAATCCTCAAATTTTTTTATTATATACTATTTTAAATTATTTATATTCATTTTCACTTATATTAAATTTTTCATTTTAAATATAAGTATATGTAAATTATATATATATATATATATATATATATATATATATATATATATATATATAAAATCATGTGTCAATCAATTATTTTTATTATGATTAAATTACATAATAAACCAATTATAATTAAATAATCAAATATCTGATCATAAAAATTTGAAAAGTACTGAATAAATAAATTTATATAAATATGAATTATGGTAAAGAAATATCATTATATTTATTATATATGAGTTAACGTTGATAATATACATGATTTTATAATTTTTTTATTATAATAAACTTAAAATTATATTTAAATATACATTTATTTTTTAATAATATTATTGATTTTATTTTTATTATAAATTCTTTTATTATAACTTTAATTTTTTAATTAGTACTTAAAATAAAATTTTATACATAATTTTTAATTAATAATTTAAAATATATTTTTAAATAATTTTTAATTTTTAAAATTAATTACTTTAGAATTAATTATTTTTTTATCTTTAATTTATATTTATTTCTATTAAATATTAAATAATAATATTTTAATAATTTAATAAATTATTTTATAAATATACATCTTTTATTATTTCAAATCAATTATAATTTTTTTTATTCTTTTTTATTTTTATTTTTTTTCTTAATTCAAACAATTTTAATTTCTACTTTATTTATTTCATTTTCTACTCCTTGGAAGATAAGGATGGTCACACTTTCACGGCTAAGAATGACAAGAGATAGATATAAGTAGTAGCTTTCCGTTATTTATCCCATACAAAATTCATGGATACCCCTTTTTCATTAATACCAAGTATTTGCAGAAATGAATATGGTAATCCTCGGTGGTGTTTTTTTCAAGGGTTAAATTTACATGTAAATTATGTAATAGGGTCAAATTTGAAAATTTTGTATGAAACTTAACGAAATTGTGCTTGGAAATACGATTTCAATATAAAGAAATTGTGTTTGAAACTTATTAAAATTATGTTAGATAGTACAATATTTGTAGGTGATTTTTTTTTTAAATTGTATTAGGCAGTATGATTTTTTTTTAATATGCATATTTGATTTTGTTTAAATATACTATTTATAAGTTAATTAATTTTAATTTAATTATTAATTTAATTATTAATTTAAAACAACAAATAAAGATATTGAGAGAAATAAGAACATAGGTAAATTTAAATTAATACATAGTAGAGATTAAAATATTATATTATTTAAAAGAAAATAATACAAATTTATTATTTAAATGGATAATTTTTACGATTATTTCTTCATTTTAATAAAATGAATATTTTTTTGGTTTATTTGTAATGAGTAAATCCATTTCATTTCGAATCCAAGTAGATTGTTGGAAAATTAATAATAATAATAATAATAATAATAATCCTGATTTTGATTCTAACAATCAAACATAAACATAATCCCATATTGATAAACATGCTTGTAAAGCTGAATGCGAAAGCGTACACTGAATTAACCATAACGATGATGTCTTTGTAGAGCACTATATTGATCTTATGGTCTTCCACCGAAGAAGCACTCGTATTTCCCTCTTGATTTTCTCTCTTGATGGGGATAGAAAGAAAGGAACGAGACTCGATACTTACGTTCGTGTGTGTGCTCTCGAAGGGGACCATGACCCTTTAGATAACCGGAATTAGGTTAATTACTTAAGTTTTAGTATTTCCAATTTGGCCCCTCATCAAATTAGAAATTGCTCTATGGTCTCTACACAATTTTATTTTCATGACATATGCTTTTAGCCAAAACTTTAATTTAGTCAGATCACTTTATTATTTGGCTTAATAAATAATGGCCCTAACACATTTAAATTATGTATCATATATATACATGACCCAAATTTTTCCAACAATCTCCCACTTGGTCACAAATATATATGTCCTTACAACCTTACAAATGTGTTAGACTTTATGAGCTCAAAATTGCCATTATATTCCTTTAGCATACTCCAAAAGTCCTGTCCATTAATCATATTAGGATATAGAACCAAACCAGTTTTTCATTGCATCATCGCAACTAAAACCAACAATGATTACTCATCCTAACATAACCAAATGACATGGATTCATCATGAAATGTGTAGCATGAAAAATTACGTGAAGGTGATCTGTACACGTCTATTTTCAACTGGTCCAAACTTTAAGTTATTGAGATCGATATAATATCCTTAATGTACAAAGTGTAATGAATGAACGAAAAAACCGCATATCTATAGATAACCAAATATGTCCAAAAAAACAATGTATACGTATATGAAATTAAATATAGAACATAAAATATATGAAAGTGACTAACTCCCACTAAACCACAAATTCCTCAAACTGTAAAACACCCATGTGAGCAAAATGCTCATGAAAGACCTTGGGCGGAAGTCCTTTAGTCAGAGGATCTGGTATCATGGAGTTTGTCCTTAAGTGTTCTATGAAAATCTGTCCACTTTGTACTCTTTCCTTAACAATACAGCTGGTTTATTGTCACAATATAACTTAAGTGGTCTTTCAATGTCTTTCACAATTTGTAGCCCTGTGACAAAATTTCTCAGCCATATTCCATGATTTGATGCCTCATAGCATGTTACAAATTCTTGACATCCTACAAAATCTGAGTCAGAAAACCCAGCGATCTCCAACTGGTCTGACCTCCTATATGTGAGCATATAATCTTTTGTTCTCTTTAAATATCTTATGACCCTTTTTGCTGCTTTTCAATGGTCTATTCCTGGATTGCTTAAATATCTGCCTAGAACCCCAACTATGTATGCTATGTCTAGACACGTACATACTTGGGCATACATCAAACTCCCTACAGCTGATGCATAGGGAATCTTTTGCATTTCCTCAATTTCCAAATTCCCTTTGGGCACTTGATTGAGACTAAACTTGTCTCCCTTTAAACTTGTGATACACACAATCATCAACAATATTCATCTTGAAGT